GTATCTAGAGATGCACAGTTTGAGTTTACTGGTTACCGACGTCACCGACGCTGATGCTCAATAAACTCCGATGACATCAGTGTCACTGCTCACAGGAGCACTGACACAGTCAATGACACTGATACCATAATTCACGCGAATTTGCTGACATTAGGTCTTCAGTGAAACACTTACTAATTGACTATGTCAAAGTATTCATCTTTTACACTTTGATTGCCAATTATCAATGGAAAAATGGAATGAGTAGATCCATCTATCCCGAAAGTATCGTGAATTTGGGCAATCTAAAATTTTAAATTATGAAAACGGCTTCAGATAAATGTATTATGCTACTGTCTGTCTTAATAAATAAGTGCCGTTTTATATCTAGATCTCTCTCATTCATAAACTCCATTTAACTCCCTCTCGGCGCTTAAATCACGTTCAATTGTTAAAAGTCTCAAAAATAGTCCTCTTCTGTGAAAAAAATGTTAGCGCAATTCCTGCAGGATTAATATGTGAAACACGATGTACCTATTGTTACTAATTCTCGAAAACTCATCTTTTCTTCTCTATGTTGGTGCTTATTTCTTCATCATCGCTCATTTTACAGTATAGAACTTCAACAAGACAATTCTCCGCATGTACTCCAATAAGACGTTAGTTTTACATGATTTCCCATAGTACCTTGAAGCCTGTCTGTTATGATCTGTGATGACTAATTAATTAATTAGAATGTAATTAGCTAACTAGTTAATTAATTAAAACATCTGTCATGGTCTATGGGGGACTGAGTCCAAATTTATACCCTATATATTTCAACATTTCTTTTAGATTGTGTTTCACAATAGACCTCTATTATGGAGGAGGGGGAGAACGAAGTTAAGTGAAGTTTATAAATGAGAGAATCTAGATATAAGACGGCACTTATTTATTAAGACGGACAATAGCATGATATATTTATTTGAAGGCGTTTTCATTATCTAAAATTTTAGATTGCCCAAATTCACGATACTTTCGGGATAGATAGATCTGCTCATTCCATTTTTCCATTGATCATTGGCAATCAAAGTGTAAAAGATGAATACTTTGACATAGTCAATTAGTCAGTGTTTCACTAAAGAACTGATGTCAGTAAATTTGCGTGAGTGATGGTATCATTGTCACTGATCTGTCAGTATTTCAATGTTTACACCAACACAGCACATCACTAGAAGATGTGCGGGATTCACGACACTAAAAACTTTCTCCTGAAAGATTCTGCTCTAAACTTAGACATTCGAATTCTAATGGATATCATTCTTCGTTGATTGATTCTATTCATGACAAGAAAGACAAGCACTTACGATTTTTGAAAAAACATTCAATACAATCGTTTCTCTACCGATCAGTTTAGTGTTGATGTTGTTCTGTGTATTTTATTCTTGCATTTATATTGACTCATGAATATTGATCAAGTTTGATCGTCGATTCATAGTATCAGAAAGAATAAAATCGCCGTAGAGAATGGTTGAAAAGAAAAAAATCCTTCCCATGAAGGATACTTGTTCTGTAATATAAGAATCAACGTCTTTCACAAAATGACGCTAAGTGATCCGTAATCGATTTCTTTCATATACTTCACATCGCACGATGCCACTAAATTCTGATACAGAATGCCTTGTACTAAATGAGAATAAAGTATTAAAGATACTTTTCATATTTTTCTTAACGTAGAGAACTGAATTTTTTTTGTAATTTACATATATATCTAATCAAGATGTTTTATTTCTACAAGTATCAATTCTATAGCTATAATTAGTGGTGAAAAACATATACAAGATTAAAATATTTAAAGTTTTGCACTCGATCTTTGTACTATTTTCAATATGTAGACAATCCCGATACTGTTGTACGAAACTTTATGTATTGCAATCTTGTTGATGTATTACATCACTATTTAAAGGCTCAGAGCTAACACTTTCATAAATTAAAGATCTTGATTAGGCATAGATATGTAATAAAAATTTTAGTTCTTTACTTCAAGAAAAGTGTGAAAAATATTAAAAATTTATCCTCACTTACTATGGGATACTCTTTATGTGTTTTCAATTGATTTTTTTCAGTGCTTTAATTATTGCTCGACATAGTCGACAAACACTATCGACATCCAAATCTCTAATTTCTAACGCTTTATGCTTGTCTATTTGCTATCACTGTTAAATACTTTTTTTTATGGTGAGTGGATATGGCTGTCCACTGGAGTCTAGGGAAAAGCGAATTATAAAGAGAGTAATTGTGTTGTCTTAGTAATCTTAGAGATGAAAGTAGACCTTCTGTTCTATTATTTAGATGTGATGGATTTCAACAAAACAGTTTAGTTTCGGTATCGTTTTTTTCAATTCAGTTCTAAAAAACAAGAGAAGCTTGGGATATCTTTGCGTCATATCCGAGGAGAAATACCATACTTGTAAAGACCATTCGTACAAATTGAACTAGTAGGGTTTGAATTCTCTGTTGGACTGGTGAATAATTTTACGATGAACATGTTGCTTTCGATTCATAGTGAATCAACTTTCAATAGTGCAATAAACATTCTATACTTCTAAACATAATTCTTTCAAACAAAAAAGGATTGACATACCTCCGAAATAGTAAAACTGATTTTTAAATATTCTTTATCACTAGAGAGTGCTTGAAGAAGAAACACTAGAGCTGTTCTTTATTGATAACATTTGTGAATTATCAGCTGCTTTTTTTAAGATAAATACTAGATATTCATGTTGGTATGATACACGCAAGCTAAATGTTGCTCACTGGAACAAACTAAGTACTAAAACTGCTGTGAAATTCTTGATATATGGTGCTCTGCCTTTTGTGACCTGTGCATTCTTCATGTTACTTGCTATACTTTTTGCTGAGCCAGGTAGTTGAAGCAGTTACCAGTCTCCATCCCTTCGATTTTGAGCATCATTGTGTTCGACGCTTGGCTACTTCATATAAGTTTGCTTACTTTAATCTGTTTCTCAAACAAGACAGTATTGCGGAAAACTGTTGTATCCGTTTCTTTTAAGAATGTTTCCCGTAGTTTGGAACATTGTCCTAATGAATCCATTTTCGTCGAACGTTTTTCACTTTTTTGAGCAGTTGTATATTTTCGATATAATTTCAAAAATTGTATAGAGATGATGGTCGAGTGATAAATGATCTACCTAGAATACTAATGTTCAACGGAGATGATCATTGCAGACATCCGTATAAAATAAATACGAGTATGTCGTGAGACATAGGTTCGAACAAATTCTACAGCGCAATTTGCGGTCGAAACGCAAATCAATCACTGTGAAGGAATACAAGACTATTAAAAGATTCATGCTCGTTTCTGACAAAAAGACGCATACAGTACATCCGATCCTGGAGATAGAAACTACATTCTCCATCTGATTCAACATTCTGATAGCATCACTTATTTTTTTCGATAGTCTCTTGCAATTAGTAGGTTTTGTGAACCGTGTTCTGATCTACAATGAAACAAATTATCAGATGTTCATCTTTTATTTCAAGCAATTAATCTACTAACTAACGTAAGCCACAAGAAAATGAAGAAAACCGTCAGTATAATTACAAAATCTACGAAATGAATACAGAGCATAAAATAAGTGAAAGGTAACGGGAAATTTTACCTAAAACACAAAATATTATCAAATTTTTGTACGAGAGTTATTATCAATTCTTAATAGACAATCAACATCAAATGAACAGTTTTGTTTATATAACTACTTGTCTATCCAGAATGGTTGAATTGCAATAAACGAAATTTAAAAATCAATTGATGGTCAATGAACACTATGAGAAAGCGATAGTTGATATTATGAGCACTCATGGTAGTAACTCGACCCACGTTAGAAGTATTCGACAGTTTTCTGATTGAAGAAACTCGTAGATGATTCATTTCTTTTGCGTTCTTTTTCTCTTACATAGTTTTTTACTCATGATACATCTATTCTGATAACAACATCAGAATAGTCGAATTGTAAAAAAAACTATCTAAATCAATAGTTCTGTACCAAGTATCAATATAATTTATTATCAGATTGCTTCGTCTATCAAGATGCTAACAGCGGAGTGGAATCCAAAGCAGGAAATATTCATGTAGTTTCTCAAAACGTTGCAATGCATGTCTTTTAAATGGTTGTTAAAATATACTTGACATTCTACTGTAAACTTCATGATCTACTTCCTTTTTTTTATAACGAAACTGGCAATACTTCTAGATTGTTTATACAGGACGCTAGAAAAAAAATGTTGACCGTGACGAATGTTTGATAATATTGCACTGTCATGTCTTTTTGCAGTCATGAAGAAAAAACGAAAAGTAATGTTTTTTTGCTTACTCTCACAATATACCGCTGGTGTCATCATGACGCTGCAAAAAAAGAGAGAAATATAAAAATATCTGAATTTCTCCACTATGATAAGGCATGCATTTTATGTGACAAACAGTAGTGTGCGAAAGAAGTTAGTCTAGAATGTGTATATCACTGCAAAATATCGACGTGCTGCTTCATTGGAAAATATCTGCCATTTGACGTATGAATTTCTGTTTTGCAAAATGAACATTGTGATGCTGCATGTTTATTGGTACAAAAGAGTAAATATGAAGTTCTTGTTCATGAATTCTACTGGACGAGTAGTATATTTTTATATTTGCCACTGTACTCCAATATAGTATCTATGAGCTACATTTTTAAATAGAGTAGTTTAGTACGTATGAAAAAAATATTAGATGTTTTTGCAAAACAAGAATAAATGAAAGTTGTAATTGCTGTTTTCAATGCATTTTTTTATATTATTTTACTTTGGCTTCAAAATTGTACGTTGTTCTTTCAGTGTGGATCGTGTTTCTTGTTGTTTTTATCTGCTAGATAGATAGCCTATTTCAATAAAATAAGTATTTTGTTTCTTAGAAAACAGGAAATGCTAATTAAGGAAAGACATGAGGCAAATATTTTTTTTTGGTTTTTAGATTTACTTTTGAAAAAATGTCATCCTCAGTACTTATCTTTGGTGCCAGTGGTTATATTGGCCTTGGTGTAGCTCTGGCCATGCGCCGTGCTGGCTATCAAGTCTATGGAATGATTCGCAATGAGAAACATTGTGCTACGTTGATTCAACACGAGATTGAACCTATTGTAGCCTCATCATTTGACGATGTTCAACCAGTTGCTAATATTCTTGCCTCATGTTCAATTATTATTGATGCTGTTGGATTCAACCCAAAACTGTCACCTATACTTTTGGAAGCTGCTCTTCACGCTGGACGTGACCGAACTGAAAATGGAAAACTAGTACATTATGCTCCACTTTTCATCTTTACATCAGGCATTATGACTTGTAAGATTATAATGCTTTCCAATATATGTGCGAGCTTTCACTGGATAGGCAGTTATCATAGAGTTAAGAAACAATAATCTGAAGGACATATGTTTGAGTAAGATCAAATCTGCCCTTTTTTTTATCGGAAAAATGAACTAGGTCTATAGAGTCGTTTTGAATATGCCTATTAATGCATAACTTGTCTCTCAATAACCTGATTATTCTTCACTTTGAGTACAGTATTGAGTTAGTTAAATTATGCTTTGTCTAGACGGTGACACATCTCAAACGGGTCGTCGTCCGGTCGATGAAACAATCAAGCCCCGACCTCAATCGGTAACGAATCACACCAGTGTCTCTTCAGCCGATGTGGAGAATATGAAGGAACGAGAAGACTACGAAAATCAAGTCTTGGCAAGTTCTTGTGCCTCACTCAAGACTACAGTCATACGACCTGGCTTCGTCTACGGTGGCCAAGGTGGTTTTATAGCCGATCTATTCTATTCGGAGCCTCTAGTTATTCAAGGAAGAAGAGATATGCGTTGGAGCTGGGTCCACATCGATGATCTGGCTGAAGGCTATGTAGCTGTAATACGAGCTCCACGTAGTGTTGTCGATGGACAGCGTAAGACATCTGTTAGAAAGAATAAAATAAGACCAAATCTTGAGTTTCGTTTCTAGTTTACAATATTGCCGCTCCGAATGACAATCCGACCTACGAAGAATTACGAACAGCAATGGCTAAAGCTCAGGGACGAAAAGAGAAAATTGAGTACAAAGAAGCCGATGGGAATGTGCCATCACGATGGGATACGGATTCGTAAGTTTTTCTCAATTGTATGACTAAATATTATTTATTTTCGTTGACATAGAATCATCAATCCAGCCAAAGCTATGAACGAGTTAGGCTGGCGACCAAGACATGTGGGCTTTGTTGAAGAAATTGATACGTATTACAAGGCTTGGGCAGCTCACAAAGCTGCTCACAATGCAGCCAAATAGTTTTTTTTTGCAATTTTTTCGTCCAACAGTATGACTTGAAAAAGAAAGACATTCTTATTATTCGAGATATTCAGTGACATATTTTTCACCCATTTATCTTTGTTGATAATAACAATCGAATACATCTTTCCAAATACACAACTCTCTGACTGGTTTGAACAGAATACAAGAGTTAAATATGCGGAGAGGGAAGGTATCTATGTTGTTTGTGAGTGTATCCAGATCGACTATAAATGGTTAAAGCTACGTATGAATACTTTGTTTCGGGCATTTAAAGTGTTTCAATGCAGATAAATATGTTTATCGATGAAATTCTAACTATAGATGTCTTTTCAGTTGTGTTTTCCAAAAGTCTGACCGAAATCGTTTGAACTGTGCTAATTGCGGATTCATTTTTCGGAAAAAAACTTGTTCAAACGAATTTGTTTTGTTTTACTTCGATTATCAAAAGATAATTTGTAATTGTTGACTTAATTATTCTGCAGTATCTATATATGATTGAATATATCTAAATCACGTCACTATAATTGATGAGTAATCGTTCTTTCTATTTTCTATTAAATATTAATTGTGACTATTTACTGTTTATTAGTAATAGGTGACTAATGATTAGAGTGAGCATAAGTTACTAATGAGAAGTAGACAGTTACCTAAAGCACTTATTGTTAGTTTATATGAATTTAAAACTGAAAAACAGCATTGTATATATTATAATCGAAATTAAAGTAACGAGATGTGTAATAGCTTAGATGATAGTAGTTCTCTTTGTGTCGGTACGGAATGTATGTTGGTGTTCATCTTCTGTTACCGGTACTCAAAGCTACCTTCATATTGGAAGAAATAAACATCAATTTAAGGAATAAAACATGATAGACTCACCACCCTAAATTTTTTTCTCTAAAAATCTTGTTTGATAGTGAAGATATAGTTTTTTCAAGCGTAAGTCTTATAGGCATCGCAGCCGCATATATCTCAATATTAAGAAAACAGACATGGTATATTTTATTCGAATAGTACTTTTCAGGATCATATCTGTATTAAAATGAATGAAACAATCATGGTTAGTGAACATTCAAGCTTAAGTTACTTCAATAAAAGTCAAAGCTGACTAAGAAAGAACTAACTGTGCAGCAAGAAAATTTTTTCGTCAAATATGTATTTTTAATTCAGCTTATTTCTCCTTCTGTCTCATTGGTTTATTCTAGCGTACGTTCTCACTACATATATAAAACTATTATTTTATAGGCATCTATTTTTGAAAAATGTTACCCCTTCAATTAGATATTTTCGAATGCTGAAAAATACAGTTTATTGCTCAAGACGAGAACATGATAAAGCTCAGGTACCAAGAAACTAAAATATATCAACATCAGGGTTGTCGATTGTTTTTAGGGGTGGGGACTAAAATTCTGGCAGATAGTGTTCTCATTTTTCTGACGTGAAGACTGTTGACCGAGGAGGAGGGAGAGGGGGAAAGAAACGACACCAGTTTTCACTAGGTCGTACCGTACCTTCCCTCCCCTCGGGTTTCCATACAATCGGTCATTTCTCCCAGAAATCGTAAAAAATTGGCAGACAGTATTAAAAATTTTCCCAGACAAACAATTTGGGGGGATAGCCACCATATCTTCCCCCCCCCCCCCCCCCCTCCTAATTGGAAAGCCTGATCAACATCCTTAGATGATCAATGATAAAAGCTAATACAGTAGATAATATACTCTTGTAAATTGTATCTAATCATTATAAATTCAATTTTCAAAACCTATTTTATTATTCATATTAAAATATTTATTATCTAATTTAACTAAATCATGAAATGAAAATAGCACGTTTATTTAATAAAATTAAACAAAATAACATGAATATGTATAATGATGATAATATTGACATAGAGAACATTTGATTAAGTCTGTTTAATAAATAATCAAGACTGAAATGGTAATAAATCTAATGTTAAATTACTAACATCATCAATCAGAACTTGTTCATTTGTTATATAATCTATTTATGTTCCATTTTGAGGAAAATTTCCTATAATATATTTCGTTTTAGCTATTTTATCCGAATGAGTAATAACAACTAAATTTATTCCACGAGAATAAGCTAAAATTTTATTTTGATTATTTTCATGAAAAAAAAATGATTGGATCTTCTCGAAGAGATTTATTTGAATGACGAAGTTTTATTAAATGTTTAAATGTATTTAAAAGATGAACATTAAAATCTTTTTCAAGTATATCCCATAGCATTGAAAAACATGTTCTATAACCAAAAAAAAAAGAACAACGAAGAAATTAAATAGAAATATAATTGTATATTTACTTTTCCACCTGATTATGGCCTAATTCTCTGTCTTCACCAAGTTCATCTCCTTGCCGAATCATTGGAATTCCAATCGATGTAAATAAAAGAATAATAGCTATTGTCATTCTAATAAAAGCATCCGAATCTTTTTTACCAATATCATGTAGTAATCTTTCATTGTCATGACAAGCTAAATAATTCACAAAACATTTTATTGAAAATGTATATTTAAGATTGCCTAAATTTCCATATTTGTCAATTTGATCTTTTTTGAAAGCAAGAAAATATCTTAGACTTTCATGAAATGATGATGACTAACAAGCATCAATTGGACCATCATATTCTTTACACAAATCTTTTCTTTCAGGAACATATTCAGCTTGACAAAAAAAAAATGGTTTGGATGGACAAAGTGAACGACCAACTAAATCCAAATGACGAAGAATATCATAATTATCCATTTGCTTAGTTAAAACAAATAATGTAAACAAATTTTATTCTTAAGCAAAAAAAGACTTTTTCTTTCTTCCAAATTTTTCAATAATCAATATTTTCATTAAAAAAATTCCTTCGAAAAAAAAACAAAGATATCTGCCATGTATATGTTGTAAGTAAAATTAGAATTCGTTTATAGCTAAATTTATACAATTGCGTACTTTACTAAAAGTAGAGTGTAATAAAAAAAACAAAGTACAAAAATCTTAATCGATAAGCGTTATAATTATAGATGTATGCATAATAATCTAATAAAAAATAGTCTAAATCAGACTCAACAACTGATTGCATTGATGAGTGCAAAAGCAAGTATGATACAAAAATAGTGTTCGTGACAAGAAGCCAAACCAAGTTCGAACCAGTAAAACAAGCAGTTTGATTCGGCCTCTCATTCGTGTAAAAAGGTTGGAGTTTTTTGTTTGCAAAAAATATCATTTAAAACGAAGTAATTGTACAACTATGGACGAATTTTTTGTCCTGTAAATTCTTTAATGAAATAACAAGATATTGTTGAATTAAAAAAAAACAAATTGTTCGTCTATCAAAATTTTTATTTGTACAATTGACACGAATAATTAAAATTAGATCTAAATATTTTTTGAGTCATTTTTTTTTACATTCTATGTCTAGATTACATAGAAAAACTTTTATAACATTTTACTGTATATAAGCTCTTTTTGTAGGAACTCTTTAAAGTTTTCTTAATGTTCAATAAAAAAAAAGGAACAAACCTGCATCAAATCTAACACCATCTAAATGAAATTCTTCAATCCAATATTTCATAACATCAGTAACAAATTTTACAGCAGGTTTTATATTTTAAAAGTTTTTATCTTCAAATTCATAATTAAATTCAGGTCCCCATCAAAATATATCTTTAAAAATATTATTCGTTAAAAAAATAAATAAATAATTAAAATTATTTTATTTTTATAAATCATAATACAAATTAATTAAACAAAGAACATTACCCAATAATTTCTATCAATAAGAGCAAGCTGAATGATTAAATACACAATCAAGAAAAACACGAATTTTTCTTTGATGACATTTATCAACAAGTAATTTTAAATCATTAATAGAATCGAATGCTGATTCAAGACAAAAGAAATGACGTGGTAAATAACCCCAATCATGTTCTTTTCCTTGTGATCCTATTTTAATAAAATAAAATATTTTATAAATATTTATTATATTCTTATCAAGAAGAAACTGTGTAGAATAATATTACTATACACTTTAATAAATGCATTGTTATAATCAATTTTTTTTGTTTTAGAATAATTTTGTTTATATTTAATAAAAGAATATTTGTTTTTTTTTTTTTTATATTTTTCCGAGGTAATAAATAAGACAATAATAATCGATAAATTCGTCTTCTTACATGAAAATTTTATCTGAAATTTTGACTAATTCTTTACTTAATATTTTGAACTTTAGCAGATTAATTTGTTAAAAAAAAAATAGTTTATCTTACCCATAATTGGTATTAATTCGATAGCATTAATACCTAAATCTGATAAATAATCTAATTTATCAATAACATCTGAAAATTGTCCACTAGGAGAAAAATCAGCAACATATAATTCATAAAAAACTAATTCGTTATTCTCTGGTAATTGAATATGATAATATTGCCATTTAAATTCTTCGTCATATATTTTTTTTCCATCAGTAATCGTTATAAAACCAACTTGTTCGTGAGAATCATATTTACTAGCATAAGGATCAATAATATCAATCGATGTTGATAATATCCATCCTTTTTTATTAATTTGAAATCTGAATTGCACTCTATTCAAGAGAAAAGAAGAAAAAAAGTTAGACGAATTTTATATGAAAATGATAAAAAAGAAACACCTGACATTCATATTTAAAAATAATTTTTCTACCGTCATTATTAATAGATGCATTAATTAGATAGTTCCTTTTGAAAATTTTATCTAACGAATAATTATTTAGTAATATTTCTTTTTTTTTAAAAGATAAATTATCAAATATTTGATTTAAAAAAAAAAATTAATAAATATTAAAAAGATTTTTTTCTTTTCAAACATTTTTGAAAAAATCGCAGTATTAACATAAAATTTTCTGAAGTTCTCTAGTTTGTATTATATTGAAATAGAAAAAAATGATCTTGATTATTTACACATATACTAAAACTTTTTTTATTCAAAAATTTATCTTAAAAACATCTTCAAGCATGACAGTAAGAAGATATCCTCCTTCAGAAAATCTATTTTTAGAAAAAAAAAAAAACGAAGTTGAGTTTTTATCATAGAATGATGGAGTGAAGCTTCCACTCTCAGAAGATGTATGACTTTTCAAAATAAAAAATTAAAATTTTAACAAACTTTTTTTGGGGGGAGGGGAGTTGCACTCTACTAACCTGTTTTCCGAGAGATTTTTATGGTTTCTTTTTTATTTTTGGGGATATGGCCTTTTTGTCTGCATCGGCATTGAATGAGCATTCTAATATATTTTAAGCATGACAGATGATGCTAGCTGATGTCATTCATTATGTATTTTACAAAACTCAATTCAATTATATTATGAAAATGACATATTTATATTGTATACTGGATTTGAATGAAAAAAATTCATGTCTAAAGTTCTTTACCGTTTTTTTTTTCTCACAAGATGATTTTCAATTAGAAGCATCGAAATAACATTTCCCAAGTCGCAAATATAATCAATATTTTCTGTTGTGCAAAAAAGCTACTTGAGAGTCAACTTTTGTTCAACCACATGTCTTGTAGTTGATTTCTATATTGAGAAAAGCTACATTTGTTTACATCAAGTGATATTTGTTTCGCTTTTTTTAACAGTGCTTGTATTAAAATTCTGCTAGAACAAAAACTGCGCATAGGTATTGGTTTTTATTGAAATATATCCCAAAATCTATACCTCTTGTACAGACGAAGTTACAAAGATTCTCCGCAAGGCCATGAATGGACTATAAAGAAGCCTGAAGGGGTCCCTGACACGGATATCAATGAATATAGAAAAGTACTAATTGGTCTTATCTTCAAGTTCAAAGTTATACCAATTGGTTTTTTTGATGCTTAATTTAATATCCAAAAAGGAGAATATATCTGCTGATATTCAAGTGAGCTACTATGTTCATATGAATCTTTAAATATTTCTATGAGAAAGTTTTCAATCTTATTTCTATTAAATTTGAAAATACTAAAATAAAAATATTCTCATTATATAACAAGAAAATATAATATTCAAAGTGTTTCACTGTAACTCATAATCAACTTATTATTCAATATAGAAAAAATTTTGAAAAAACTTATTGACTAATGTTACTATGCAATAAAGACTCAATGAGCTTGGAGAATCTTCTATTAAATAATTTATGATGATCATAGATATTCTCAAAGAATTTACTGAGTTTTATTTTATGTTTGGTTTGTACAGCATAAAAATGATAATAAGCCATAATAAACTTAAAGATATCTTTTTAGAATAATATTACATTGGATTTTTGCATTTACTTTCTGTTTGTATGAAGAAATAATAGGAGATTTATTATCTGAGTATTTTTGAAACAAAAACTTGACACTTGTGATCAGTACATTTGACATTATGGAACTATACAAGACTTCTAATAGAGCGTCGTTAAAAAAAATTTTGATTTCTGTGAGGAACCTGAAGTAAAAAAGATTGAGTTTTGATAAAATACAGAATAAACTCCTGAAAATTAATCTAAGTTCATGCTGATTCGCAAAATAATAAAACTAAACATAGATATTTTTGGATGTTTGGTACGGTAGGGTGTGAGTGTGAGTCTTCAACACAGCACGGCTTTCTCCTACAACCATCCACACCCTTGTCAGAGATATTCAAGAGTAAAATCGGCGAAAGACAGAAAAATCACAAGAAAAGTCTCATCGTTCTCTTGAAGAATCACCAAATGAAACTCTCCATATACACAGTAACGTATTTTTAATAGCCGATAATAACATATGTTGTTGCTAGTAACCTACTGTTTAAAACGAGCTTGCTGTTACTTGAAAACGAGTTTTGTTAGTGTTATATAGAAATATCAATTTGAAAACTATGTTTTTGGAGTCTGTCCTCTATGTGAAGTACGTTCTCTGACATGCATTTCAAAAAGAGGAGCGAAACAATTGTTAGGAACCAAAACATGCTCTGATGTGCAGTTCAACTAACATGAGGGTGTGTAGAGTGGGATGTGGGTCTTCAACCCAACGATACTTTTCTCTACACCCCACATACACGCACACCCACACCCACACACCCAAACCTACGCCTAGTTAAATTTCATTTGATGTCTGACGTTGTTTCTATGTGTGACATTTGGAAAAGCGATCTAACGATCGTCTCAAAGATGATAATGAATAATAAGAAGAATTTTCTGTTAATCACACATCAGCATCTATTACAATATCTATCAAGATCATTCTTTTTGATTTAAAGAGTGAAGTTACTTTCTCAGAACAAGTAAATCAATACACATTAAAAGTCTGACATGGCACAATAATTCTGTATTCTTCCTTCTTCGGTATGATGAAGATGAAAAAGATTTTGACAAGATCAAAATACAATCTATTTTTCAATAATGCTTGTCTTTCGATCTCTCTTCGAAAACGAACAATTTCAACAGCAATGGACGAATCAGATGATCATTTTACCATTGACTTCATCAATTATTGCCAATGAGGCATAATGCACATGGCAGCCAGTCGATTTCAAAAACAACGAAATTTTCATCGATGTTCAATTGAATTTGAATTTCACTTGCATATATCATTAGATCGCAGAATTCATTCTGACGAATTCTCTCGAGAACGACACTTCCAAATCTCGCTCGAATATAGTCAATGAAGATATCATCATTTTCTGAGTGGTTCTCCTTTCTTGGTGTTTGATCCGAAACATGTAACTTTGAGTTATGCTAAATGACATTTCTCAGTTTTGTTTCTAAGGAGGCGCACTAATAGTGTTCCATTTGACCAGAATCAATATCAATTTCCTGAAACATGATTGTTAATCAGTGTTGAAGTATATAACTAGAAAAGTGAATTGTAAGCTCCATCCTTGTGTCTTTCCGATTCCTACTGCATAGATCGTCACAGATAATTTGACATGGCGCAACTTTAACCCTATCGCAGATCATGATCAATATAACGAAGGTCTTCATGTGCAATTAGAGCGGCTGCATTGTGTTTTACATTTTAGTCCCATAAGGATTGTTCCCGTAGCTTTTATTGAAACAGAATATTTTATAAAAAATAGAATATTTTTTCTTAAATATAACAACTAATAAAATATACATAATTAGAAAATTAGCAAATTCAGAGTCTATTATATATCAACTCTTTAGTTTTGAAAGCAGGTCTTGCCTCTTAATAATGACCATAATATTGAATTACCATAGGCAAAGTCTCCTGCAAAGAACTCTTGAATTTGTGTTTGCATCTCTGACCAAAATCCATCATTTTCCATCAGTGTATAGCACCATCCCAATAATTTATCACTATTTAATGACTTCATAATGCCAAAAAGTAAAGTACCAATACCACTTTTTGGTTTCTCTATATCAAGTCGTCGGTTAATATACTCAACACTATTTACCATTGCTGTCAGTGCAATATTACCATAATATTGAATACCATTTTCCTCATAAGTCTTTTGATTGTAATTCTACAAGATATACCTTTTTAAATCCAATTATAAAATTTGAAAAACTCACTCTAGTTCATCACGTCAAAGAGTTTTTAATTTTGACAATTTTTATTCAAATCTCGTAAGACATCTATAGATACGATGCTCCGAAATGGCACAAAGTTCGATATCAGACATTTCTCATGAAAGTAATAGATTTGGACTCAGATTTGCCATGTTTTCCATCTGAACGATTAGTACTGAAGCGATAAGAACGAATAAAATACGAAATAATACGTTATATTAACTCAAGACCATCTATGAAACAGAGAGTACATATTAAGCAAAAGATCTTTCGGATGTTTAGCAGCAGAAGTTCAATATAAAGACTATGGCAAATGGTAAAGAAATTTTCGCTTGCAAGTGTAATACAATTGTAGCTCCGTTGATCTAGAATGATTTTTCAATGGACCGATGAACGAACGATCCAGGCGAGTCTTACTTAGTTGAAAACTATTAGCTAATCATTCTAGTTTAGAATTGTCTTCATGGATTCTACGTCTACACGCCGTTATACTATCCGTATAAACATTCTTGATCCAGGATTTTTGCGCAAGAATAGTCACTCTCTTGAATTATGAATCCAACGAAAATAGTCATACCCGGATTAGGTGATCATATTAGGTACGCATCACGAGTCTTTGTTAGGGTCATTCTAGGACTGAGACGGATTCATAACGTCAAAGACCTTCCGAACTCTAATTCCTACACTTTCTTATTCAATCATTCTCACTATAAATGGAAAAGATGTTGCATACATGTTCAAATAGATATTAGCGAAACAATGCTTTATCACGTTCCCAGCTATTAGAGCCATTGTTGTTTTTCTGAATATGTAACAATTAATAATCTTATGCACTCTCTTAGTTCTTTGAATACTATAACTGACCTTTAATAAATTATGAAAGTCTTGCATGACTGCTTTTCGTTTGTCGTCACCACCATTCCATTGATTTGTACAAACAAGTGCAATGAAGATATTGAGATGAACACATTCACTAATTAATCCACGAATAAATTCATCGTTAGCAAACGAACCTGGAGATGCACATAATATAACACACATTGGATTTTTTTGTCTAACAATATCAATGATGGATGAATCCCATTTTTGTATTCCTTTTGTATCCCAAATTTTAATTCGAAATCGTTGAGCATCGACACATCTCTCACTTGTTTGTCTATCAGTGATTTCCGGAAAAGTATCTTTGAGCTCATAACATTCTGATTCTTGTGTTATAAGAGCTAGACCTGGGCCGGTTCGAGCCAATTGTTTGCCAGTGATGGCATTGATTAATGTACTTTTACCTGTTCGTGGAGCACCACAAACAATAAAAGTGAATTCTTGAAGTTTATTTTCGACATAGTTAGCTATGAATGCAGGATTATTATTTGTACATTCTATGTGTGATGTACGCAAATTATTAGTACCAATCGTGACAGCAGAAGCCACTGCAATAGTTTGACGTCTAACCCTTTTTTCCACATCATCTTCGCTGGCCATCGGTTCCTTTTTATGTAAATTATCTAAAATGACTAAACATCTTGTTTGAGGTGAAGACACAAATAAGCATGGCTTTTCTTGAGTACCTTTCTAAATAGGGCTTCATGAAAATATGGACATGGAAACAAAAATAGCTGAAACATTGTTCGTGCACGTTTTGATAAAAGGGTGGGATGTGAGTGGTTTCTTGTTCTTCAGAGAATACATTATACTACTATTATGTGATTCAGGAATCAACAAGCGTGATGTTTACATAAGAAAAACATTTGAAAAACTACAAAAAGAGTAGCATTCCGCCAGATATTGATAATTTTGTTGTCGGGAACCAAAGAAATAACTCTGCAAAATTTGAAGTGGAGCATAACCTATCTCAAGACTAAACTCTCTGGAAATAGCAAGGAATGGCGATCGAATCGCATCGAACTACATGATGATGCCACAAGACTTTGACGAATAACTTATCTTAGATTCATATTTGAGTAGATGTATGTAGCAATGTTTGCAACATTCCTCTATAATGTAACTGAGTCTTTCTGCTCAAGGTCTTCAACCAGAATGATGTTAAATAGAGATTTGTCAATGAAAATAAATCACAGATTTGCATTATAAAATCAAATATCTCGTTGGAAAGTCGACTTTTGAGATGGGAAGATAAAGAACACGTTGATACACTGAAATTTTCTTTCTCATAGTTCCACTTGATATGAAACTATGCTTACTTACAATTAAAGAGAACGTTTCGCGAAAGTTCATCTGGTTAACTCAATGTTAAAAGAAATTTTTTCTCATTAAATACACCAGAAAATTTCTTATTAGAAAAAAAAGTTCACAGGTTTTATCTTATTCCTATAAAAAGTTATTCGAAAAGTTAGGCACTATTTAGTAGTGCTACGGCACACAATACTTCTGGGATCGAGGATGTCCTACGAGCTTCTTAAAATCTATACATGAAAGAAAGCCATCATATAGTTATATGATACAGACATGACAATGACATGCGTATATATCAGAAGTTCTCCTTCGCTATTGAAACTTCAAAGCTCTGTAGATATCAAATATACTTGGGACATTTTTTTATGCCTAAGAAAATCGTCTAAAGATTTTGAATCTGAATTAAAACCGTCGCTATCTCCAATACTTTGGCATGGGATTCGTTTCATGTTCACCTTTAATTAATAAATCCTATCTGATGTCATATATATTAATCGATTGACTTTTGTTTTCTCCATAGGGGTCTGGGATTCGTCATACATCGAATCTGAGACCCATCGTGTAAAGAAAACAGGATATTGATCGAAATATCAGAGAATATATAAAAGAGTTGGTATCTAGGAAGAATTCGATGCCAATCAGGGCTCTCAACACTCCCAAATGAATGAGAAAAAAAAATGCATGAATCATTTACTTGTTTTATTTCCAATATGCAGTGCCCCACATCACGCTGTCAGTAGTATTTACATGGTGAAGTTGTGCAGCCTGAATTGCTTGGAGAGTGAAGCAATAACAGTATGACATCATAATTTCCAACTTCTTTCTTTTTTTTGTAACCATGAAATGAATGATGAAAAAGAATGTTCTCGATGTTTTTTTTGAATGAAGAACGAAAAGCAAATCAATCTTTTCATAATTCTCTTATAAGCGAAGGTGTACAAGACAAATAAATAGTGGTTTCAAATTTCATCTTCTCTATTCCGTTAGACGGTAAAAAAAACGTTACATTTTTACACAAAACAAGTCTTTTTTTCTTGGAGAACGCGGATAGTGTATGATAGTGATCCATCACAGCGTTCATAAGGCAAATTTAAGAGTTGATTTTCGAAGTCGACGCAAAATAAAATGAAGAAGAATCGTGTCATTCAGCTATGAAATGTGCATATTTTAGACGAGAATACATCTTACTTTTTCTTTTCAGTCAAATCCAGACGTCGTATAACTTTTTTTTCATGAATGAACACAATCTTTTTCAACTAGACAATGAAACTGTTTATTCTTACGGTATGATGTATCAATTAGGATAGGATATAAGAGCGAAATGATGTGCACTAGGGCTTTCAGTATTTTTCTATCTAACTTCTATTCTCCACACTCTGTCCAGCAGATCTGACAGATGTGTGAACATGTCTGAGAACATTTTCGATGGTCTAAGTTTTTATTTTCTGATAGATCGGCAGATGTCACTAGAATTTGCTATAAGGGTTTAAGTAGTTCTATCGTGTACATGTGTAGTTAGTTTGCTTGTAACTTTGAATACGATAGAGAAGCGAGTTTGAAAATTAGAACCTATGAAAGATAAATAATCTCTTCTATTTTCTGAAATATTAGCACATGGAATCCACAATCTGTTCTATTCAAGTTCATGTTCGCCGAACAGGTGAAATGGTTAATATCAATGTGATTCCATCAACGACTACGTATGATGAGATTATTAGAAAAGTTTGCGAAAGAATCAATGAACCAGAACCGAGTCATTATTATTTAGCATTAAACTATGAAGTTGAATTAAAGAATGATGAGGTATTTCAGTCACGACAGCAAGATGGACGGTATCAGCTAATTATGCGAACAAGATGGTTGATGGAATATTTGGCTGAAAAGGAAAAACTAAGAAATTTACTGATTCAAGCAAAGATGACAATGAACGGTAAGGTGAACTTAACTAAAAAGAATATTTGTGTGAAACACGATTCGAAATGAGTGTTAAAGTATAAAACGGGAAAATTGGACCTCATCTTCCACCATACATCGTGATAGACAGAATTGATAAAGCTTCTGTGCGTCATCATGATCTATATAGTTAGGATTCTGCTTAACAATTGCAACAAATCCATCGTGTCTCCCATTGGAGCCCTAGAGGACTTGTGCTAAAAGCTTTTCTACGAAAAATCTTGTTCCAAAGCCATTGTTCTTTGCTCATACATTTTCTGTTTCATTGAATTACCCGGATCTACATGTTTTCGAGACTATTCTGAACTAAAAAGAGTATTTCTATACAACAAATATTAATTAATCAACATGTGAGGATTTCATATACGCAGGCACTATTTGTCGTTTATTAAAATAACTGAACGAAAGTGCCATTTAAAAAAAAGAAATTTGCTCGACTTTTTCGATCTCCTATAATTGATTTTCGTTTTGTGTCACGCTCATAGTATCCCTATATATATAAGTTTTTTTGAGTCCAAAGCCTTCTGCTTAATAGTGAGATTTTATCGACTAACAAGTTGTGCCATAGTGAACTCTTGCAATAATTCTATTTCGAACCCACATTGAGCTACAGCTCTATAAATTTCATTACAAATTTCTGTACTCATAAGAAATTATTACTAAACTTTTCGAGGGAATCAGTAGAGATCAGCTCTAGTGATCGACATTAGAGAGAAAATTAGAGCACGCTACTTGCTGAAAGTTTTTGATACGAAAATCAGATCTTCGTTATTTTTCAAAGGTAACCGAAATACTGTTACCTAGCTTATCTGAGCTCTATTGGTGATTAAAATGTGAAGACTATCTATTGAAGTTGAGATAGGATTCAACTACTAGCGGGATGCTTTAGCGACGACTATATATTCTTCGGTAATAGAAAGAATCAATAGGTCATAGCCTATTTTTATTATTATATGTATCTGATTCTTCGCTGGAGTGCAAAGAGAATTATTTGTTTATTTTGTCTTATTCACTAATATTGTCTCTGATTCAAGACTTATAATAGAATGAAATATTTTATTGATAGATTTGCCAACTTTCTTATCACATCCGATCAAAGATTCAAAACAGGAGACAAGCGAGACGAGCATTGTCAATAAGCGACCAAATCATATTGTTCTAAATTCCAATCCAACAGCATCATCATTTAGTAATGAAAATAATCAGGGTGTTCCTCGTGATATTGTTCATGCCACCATTCAGCGTATACCGCGACAAGATGTACAAAATTATCTGCATCAAGCTGTAGGAAAAACGTTTGATATCATGCTAATGGGTTCACCTAGAGTTGGAAAAAGTACACTAATCAATGCCATTCTACAGAAAGATGTGGCTGAAACACATGCTGGACGTAATGCATGGACGAAAAAATTTAGTTATTATGAGTATGAAGAATCTTATATTACAGAAACTGAAAACAACACAATAAGAACATCAACAAGTTCAATTCGAATTTGGGATTCACCAGGTATTGAGGATTGGACAAGATTAGACGTGAAAACATATGTACAAGATTTAATTAACAAAAAAAATCCAGTTTGTATCATTTTTTGTGCATCACCAGGTACCTATGTTGAACTTGAACAACTCAAAGGTATTGTTGAAGCATGCCAAAATTTGAAAGTATTCATTGCAATGGTTGTAACAAACATGTATGCATCAGATGAAGCAGATAACATTTTGCAAATATTTCAAGATACTCTGATTCATCATCATGTACAAACAAGTGTCGAAAAGAATATTTTCTATTATGGTCATGTTGGTCTTTGTACACAAGTCAATTCGATTGATTACGTAGTAGGCAATATTAGAAAAAAGTCGGAAGGTGTCGACGAGTTAATCTTAGGCATTATGAATTCATTAACTGATGAAAAACTGTTACAATGGTGTTTCGCAATACAAAACAATGCTCCGTTCTGGGCTAGAGCACAAAGACAAATTTGGGAATTATATTCTTCTTTCAAACGTTTACTTGGCCATTAATATTTCTCGATACATGCTCAAAAATATGTATATTTTCAACATTTGTATACTGACAGAAATTTCAACTTTTATGTACGGAATAAAAAAGTAAAAGCTTCGTTACTATAGTCTCTTTTCCCAAAGATAACACAGTTTTCCGCAAACTTTATTCGCATCTGTAGTGAAGATGAAGTTTCAAAACGATTCACTTCTATCTAAAATTCATTCTCGAATATTCGATAGGATATCTTTTTTTTTTTTTAAGTTGTCTTCTTTCGATCTATCTTCATCTTTGTTCAAGTTCTTGATCATTTGCTATTCCTGTAGCTCAGTGT